AATATAAAAAGAATTATAGGTTCAAATATTACAAAACACAAGTAGAAAAATAATTATTTGTTGTTGTTAGAAGTGTCATAAATAGAGGTGGCAATTAGGATCCAAATCCATGAATCCAATCCAATCCATCCACCAAATTATCCACCTAATCCAATCCATTTGATCCAAATCCAATTGGATTGGTGGATTCATGGATCAATCCAAGGATCCAAATGGCAAATTACAATTTGGTACCTATATTTTTTATATTCTACATTTTGGTACCTAAAATTTATATTTTTATACGAAAAATATCAATGGAAAATTACATTTTGGTACCTAAAATTTTTCATCGTGACATATTAGTACATAAACTTTTCAAAATTTACATTTTGGTCCAAGCCTTGGATGTCATTTGGATTCATGGATCAATCCACCAATCCATTGGATCCAATCCATTTGATCCATGGATCCACCAATCTAATCCACGAATCCACGAATCCGATCCAATTGCCACCTCTAGTCATAAAGATATATATATAAGTAATTACTAATATGAGTAAAAATGGATAAAGAATTAAACAAAGACAAATCACATTCGCTATACTTCTAATTTTTCTTTTTCCCCTTATTTGTTACTTTTCTCAAACATTATCGATTAATACTATCTTCCCCCGTTCAATTTTCACCTTCTTTTTCATTCTTTCTTTTGTTTTCGTCCTTTTCATTAAACACAAATACGAGCATGACACGAACATGAATAGGCACGGCATGATTCGAACTGTGCCCGGGCCTAGCAAAGTTAACAACTGGACTTGCATGATACGACACGAAAACTAACAGGCCGTGCCAAGCACGGCACGAAATAAATGAGCCCGAAGCGTGCCCGTGCCGTGCGGCCCAAACACAGCCCAACGCCCATGTACTCACTTCAACCTCTGTGTGCGTTTCTTCGTGCCTCCATTACCCTGAACACGAATACACACACAGAGTCGAATATTATTTATTAGCCTGCAGTTTTGGGTTAATTATTTGTTTATTCCTTATTTCTTAGTAACGTAACACCTGTTAGATCCAATTAACAAGCTAATGCAAATTAATTCAGGATCCTTTAGCTTGTGAAAAACAATACCGAATAAGATAAAGCAATCTGGCTTCCAGCCGGCCGAACTTAGAGCTAGGTGTCGCCGGAGAACGTTACGGACCATGTTGTTTTTGGTACGTGTAAAGCGACGGATGGCGCCATTTATAAGTAAATGCAAACCCCTACAAGGAAAATGCATCGGCCGGCGAATCAGGCTAGCTCCACGTAATATTACGTAGTTTTGTTCCTCTTATTCACGATTATGGATGATGCCAATTGTTTTGTTTTGGGTGGAAAGCAAGAATGTCATCCTAACTAACTCGAATTATTAGTCAAACGAGATTTAGTTTATAGACCTATGAAAAAGATCAGAAGTGTATAGTTTGGTGTTCTTACAATTTGTAGTGAAATACTATCAACTCTTCAGTTCACTAAAGCAAATTGAATAAAATGATCCCAAAACCTCATCATAAAAAAAAAATGATCCCAAAAGCTCTACTGGGGCAACAATTAGCTTCCAGCTTCCACAATGGATCTTTGTTTAAAGTGTTCTTTGATTCCGAAGGATCAATTACGCGCATTAAGAGGAGGAGGGTTAGGGTGCATTTAAGTCTATCTTTTGTCGGTGGACCAAACTTTGATGCGTCAATTTGCTGGATAATTAACTTCACCCAATGCAATCTAGTTATTATCCTACTTACAAGGTAAGTCGTGAATATCAAGGTTATCAATCCGCGGGTTGACCCAGACCCGGTCGAGCTAGTGGGTCAAGGGTTAATGGGTCACCCGTTTTAGTCCGTTTCAGCCCAGAAATATGAAAAGAGTCATTATATTGTACTTATCTTGATAAATTATATCAAATCTCATCTAACATATGAGTAATAACATATAGGGATCTCCTACCATAACTTGGGTATAATTTGAAGTTAGGTAACTTGCATAGATCTAAACCGTTAAAATTGACCAAATTTATTTTCAACCATTGATTAAATAAATAAATAATAACTAAAAAATAAATGGCAACATGGGTTGCCGATCACCCATTCCAAGTTACCTTTTTCTATTTTTTTTCTTTCCTTTTTCATATTTAGTTGGCTTTCCATATTTTAACATTTCCTTTTTTAATCCTTATTGAATTAGAAGCGTTACGTAAGCCTTCCGTAATAACTTAGCTCTTTACGTAACACGATGTTAATACTCATTACGTAAAGAAATCTTCTATTACGTAAGGCTTCCGTAATGATCTTTTAAACTGTTACGTAAAATACATATTCACTACGTAAAGGTTACGGAATTATAGTTATTTCTTACGTAACAGTTAAATCGGAAGCGTTACGTAAAGCTTCCGTAATGACTTAGCACTTTACGTAACGCAAGGTTAATACTCATTACGTAAAAAGACCTTCCATTACGTAAAGGTTACGGATCGACAATTATTTCTTACGTAACAGTTAAATTAGTAGCGTTACGTAAGGCTTCCGTAATGACTTAGCATTTTACGTAACACGAGGTTAATACTCATTACGTAAAGACACATTCTATTACGTAAGGCTTCCGTAATGATCTTTTACAACTGTTACGTAAGATTATCATATGTTACGTAACCATTACGTAATGCCTATTGTATTTTACGTAATACGACCTGTAAAACCTGCTATAGCAGGTAAAAAAATTCAAGTTACCTTACTTCAAGTTACCGTAGGAAATCCCATAACATATAACATTACACCAAAGTAACATGTTGTACTTAGATCTAACATATAGTGAAAATTCACACACACTTATATAACATCAATATTCAAATGTTCAACTAAGGATTCCAAAGATTGAGTTAGGCGAAAAAGAAAAATCGGAAAATAGGCGCATTTCCCAAACCAAAGAAAAAAATGACACAATTTGACCTCCAACCCGATACCGTATAGGGGTCGACCCGGCGGGTGCGTGCGGCCCGTTTTTCTCATCTGGGCAGGGTCAAAGTGGGTCGACCCGGGGGTTGACAACCTTGAGTATATACTCACACAGACAGAGAAAAGGAGGCCCACAAATTAAAAAAAGGCTGACTCATTCTCACTATTAAAAAAAAAATCATCTGCGAGTCTCCTCCTCTCTTTCCATCACTTCGTCAGAATAACACATCCACACAAAACAAATATCCAAACCACCCAGAATAATATATGTTCACCATAACAAATATCATCTAAGACCAATATCTAGTCAGCCCATAATTAATATCATCATCATTAAGGGTGACAATATTACCCATACCCATGGGTATTTTACTATCCAACCCAATTGGGTTGGGTATGGAATCCAAATAGATGTTAGATGGGTAAAGTTTGAAGGGTTTGTACCCATACCCATTTACTTCGGTTGGGTTTTTAACATATGGATTTGGATTTGTACCCATACCCAAATGCAAATTACAGTTTGGTACCTAAACTTAATAGTTATGCACATTTAGTACCTAAATTAATTTTTTTTGCATATATGTCCTCAAAATATTGATGAAAAATTACATTTTAGTACCTAAAATTTTTTGGTCTCACATTTTGGTGCCTAAACTTTTCAAGTTTTACAAATAGGTCCAATTTTTGCATATGTAGTTAAAACACCCTCAAGTAAATGGATATCCATATCCAACCCATACACATTTAGATAATATCCATATCTAACCCAAACCCATATACAAACCCCAAACCCATACACACATCACCCCAACCCTACCCATAATAAATGGGTCTACTCACGACGAACAGATTAATATCTGACCGTCGCAAACTGATACCCACCACACAGATTAATATATGTCCATCGCAGAATAAATGACTAATACCAACTACACATATCCTAACCACCTAAACTAATATCCATTCATTACAAACAAATATTGTTGTTTCATGGCCCGAAGGCCCATGGGCCCTCGGCGGGCAACCCTAACTAAGGTTGCAAACCTTATGTGTTAGGATTTGATAGTGTGTTTAGTTTTGATGGAAGACACAATATCCATTACTTCACAAACTAATATCCATCGCATGAACATCATTATATCCTATCATCACATACTAACATCAGTACATAAAAAGACAATCTATCACTGACCAATATCCATTACAGGCGGAAAAACAAAGAAAGAAACGAGAGAGAGAAAGAGGGTTAGAGAGTTAAAGATGGTTGGGAATTTAACGGGCCATCACTTCTCCTTTTTTTTTTACCCATTTGAGCCTTGTGAGTAGTTTAACTTTTTCGCACCCAATGGCATCGACATCGTCAAGTACTCTTCCCCTATATAATGCCAAAAAAGGATTTGATTAATACATGAAAGGAAATGAAAATGCCGCGATTCTCTAAATTTAAATCTGAAGTTTAATTTAATAGTAAATATTAATTGACCGTTGAGATTGATCGGAGCTAAAAAAAGATCTAATGACCATATTACATAGAGTATAGTATGCTCCTGTAGTATACCAGTTATTATCATATAAACCATATATATGCAGTGGCGGAGGCAGGATTTCAAACTACCCCTGTCATGTGTCCTCTATTCAGAAGATATATATATATATATATATATATATATATATATATATATATATATATATATATATATGGCGGTGTCTTCGATGCACTCACTTTTTTGAGTGCACTGAACGCACCCACTTTCTTTTCCAATCTTGACCGTTGAAAATATCTAACATTTTATAATATTTTTTGTAATAATTAATTAACTAATGATAAATACAACAATAATTATTATAAACAGTATTAACTTATTTATAATTGCAATTGAGGCCCTCATTAATATCCGCTGGCGGACGCTGAACCCGTAGCCCGCCACTTCCCTCCTCTTGCACGATCTTTCCATCAAGTTGTGCTGGATAGCATCCTAGATATATTTTGTTCCAAATGACTCGTGAAACCTCTAAATTGTTAGAGCAGAGCCAACTGAAGGTGTTATTTTCATGAATAGGTCAAACAAATGGATCAAGCTATAGTTTCCTTGTCCTGATCGAGCAAAGCATAGCCAAGGGCAGGGTAATGGTAAATTTGCTTTTCGAATTCCTTCCCCCATCAATTGTATTATTTGTATAATAAAGTGAGAAGAAATTACTAACTCCCAACAAATTCAGTACTAGAGAATCGATCGAGGTTAATTAATTAATATGTCTGCTACGGACGACAGAGTCGGAGCGGAAGTCGGCGGCGGCGTGGATGTGGAACTACTTGGGTTGGTAACCCGGTACGAAGCAACCCAAGACCCAGAGAGCCAAGATCTGATCCTCTTCTCGATTTGCCAACACTCAGGCCTCCACCAACCGCCAGCGCTCATTAATTATCTCGATCCTCCAAGCAGCGATGCCGTTTTGGAATCCGATGACAGCGACGACTAGATGGATGATGTGGAAGAAGAAAAAGAAGGGGAGGAGGAGTTCAGGTATGCAATATTCGATTGGGACAGTGGAGAGGGAGAAATGGAGAGGTCTCTGTTGGTACGAAGAAGAAGAGGGGTTTGGAAAACAGGGGAAAAGAAACGGGGAAGAAGAGGGTTAAAAGTAGGAGTGTAATTGCAATTTATCAATATGTTTAAATTATTTTATTAAATAAAAATATAGTTAATAATGAATTATTAATAAATCAAATTATTGTAACCGTTAGATGTATTTAACGGTTAAGATTAAACAAAAAAGTGGGTGCGTTCAGTGCACCCAAAAAAATGGGTGCGCCGAAGTAGCCACCATATATATATATATATTATTTAATAAATATAATTAAAACTAATAATACCTAAATAATTCATTCATAAAGAAACAAAAAAACTGACTAATACAATTATTGTTTGCATAAATAACCAGGACGAGTTTTCATATTGTGAAAGAAATGTAAAATACATTCATTGTTTACACTCTTAAGTGAGTCGCTTACAATGTATCCCATTAAACAATTATTAACAAACCCATTGCCAATTCGACTTCGAAGCTTATTCTTAATATAGTTCCATCTAATATATGCACTTTTGTCTCCACCATTACTCGAGATAATTTATCAATTCTTTTCCACCCAACAAATTTCTCATCAGCCATAATATCGTGATAATACCTAATGAGCTGTTGTCGAATAATAGTGTCATGATTCATGAATGAAACCAATCATTTAATTATTTTTTGTGAATTAATGAACAAATAATGAGTTATGGTGTAATGTTAAAACATCCTTACGTTACTTGTAAGTGTTTAATTCGATCCGCGCAAATATATATGAGGTTATTTTTTTCCCTCCCCAAAAGTTACCCCTATCCCTGGACAGGGGCAAACACCCCTAGCTCCGCCTATGTATATATGGCAAAGGCTAGCGTACCCCCGGACGTACCCTAGCCTACAGTACGCCCGTTGAGTTTTGCTATTTAGACAATGAATTAACCGGAGTTTGGGGCATGATACTATATACCCTAACCCCTAATGGTGAACCCCAGTCCGCAAATCAAAGTTATATCATACCTTGAGTAAGAAACCGCTTTCTAGACCTCGAATTAACCGGAGTTTGCGATGTGGTAGTATACCCTAATCCTTATAAGTCCAGTCGTGCAAAAGTTTTTTTTGGTTCACAGGTCGTACAGGCTTTCTTTATTAATTTCCCCTCACGAGCAAGATCACGTCCCTCATTACGAGCTTGTACACATGGCCCTTTCCAACCACTAAAGGTACGTGCTTATCATGTGTGGCTACTCGTTCTTTCAAGCCTTTCCTTGTCCAATTGCGCCCTTTTTTGGTTGAAGCAGCCACGACTTTGGTCGTAGTCAGTTCAAACTATCGAAGAGGCATAGAGCTTGAGAATCTCAGCTCTTTGACACAGATATGAGATAGCTGCTTGAAGGGCTAATGAAGCTAAGGAAGTGGAAGTTCTGTGCATTTACTTTTGAAAGCAAGAAGAAAGGTTGGCCTTTCCGCGACAAGTGGCAGTCCACAGAAAACATCGTATCTTCTACGAACTTAAACCCTGCTACACACTTAAGTAAGCTTCTAAGCAAGGATGGAAAAATCTAGGCCGTAATTCTAAGAAAATCATACACTAAGATGAATTTAATTAGAAACAAAAACCGACGGTCATGATTCGTCAAAATATTTACAACAAATTACATGCGCAATTTTAGGGTTTAGGGTCTACAATTTAGATAACTAAGACCTAGGATTAACTCATCAAGGGTTATGGTGTAGTATCATGCCCCAAAATCCGGTTACTTCAATGTCTGGATAGCATTTTCTTACTCAAGGTATATCATACCCTAGATTTTACTCAAGTTACGATTAGTATGTGTGATTGTAGTGGCGGAGTAGTAGGGCTGGAAACGATGAGGTCTTGATCCCAATCAGATTATACATACGTTCTATAATTTAGATTGAGAGACTATAATATAGACCATAAATCAGATCATAGACTAGACGGTCTAGACCAGACTACGCTTATACTATCTGATTTGGTACTATCTATTCCAGATAGACCACATTAAACCAAAAATGAACAATTTGCAGAGCGACCAAACAGAGTGTATAACAACAACAAAGAGGGCAAAGTGAGCAATCAGACAGCAGACAGGTACATGTGGGCTGTGAATACAAAACAGGCAGGCAGCTTTTATGAACCCAATCTGTTCACCGGTCAGGCTAGCTAGGGGACCGGCGCCGGCGGCCCCATTTCTCCCCCAGAACAATAAAAATATGGACCCATGTAGGTAAACGCCGCGGTTGGCAGCAGCCATTGTTGGGCCGCCAAGTGTGTCCCACTCGAACCCCTTCCTGTTTCGGGAGTCGGTTTTCGGTGGCGCAAAACGCCGCGAATTACCATTCATCATTCGACGACTTGTCGTCCACCCTTGATTCCCACCGTTTTTCCAATCTAGAGAACACTACGTACAACGTACTGTCACCAGCTGGTTGCAGATACCGCCGGACAACGTAACACCGAAGTCGTAGCTAAGCATGCAAGCTAGCTAGCTCACATCATCGTTCTGAATTTCTTATCAATTCCTCACCGGCACCGCTTCAGTCAATCTAGCTAGAACTGGGGGTGAGAAATGGTTTGGTTTGGATCAAACCAGAACATATATACGATTTATGGTCCAGACAGAGATGTTAGAATATAGATTATGGATCAGATTATATACTATACGATTCATATCAGACTACGAGAAAATCATGATTCCGTATCTTAGTCTGACGACTTTTTTCCTAAGAATTTATTGTGATCCAAAATTTGTAGAATTTTATGGTATGTTTGACTTAATAGCATATTGTATCTCATCATTATGGGAAACCGTACTAATTAATGCTCATTATCGCAGTGTAAACAAGAGGTTTAAAGCGCGTAAAGATTAAGATTGACCACGAATAAGTTCTGCAATCAAACCAAAATATAATTGTATATAATACCTATATACTTTATTTACGGGAGGAAAGGCATAGAAATATAGCATATTAATAAAATTAGATAAATATATATGGATTCTTAACCCGGATAGACAATCTTGGTTATCAATATTTGGAAGTTGTAATCCTCGTCAATCTTAATTTGTTCACATAAATAGTCATGACTAAAAACAGTAGTCACCCTCCAACATTTTTACCAATACATGTGCGTCAATGAACGATACTTGAACATAGTGATTTGAAATGACGACATCAAGCAATATTGTGTCTATTTTGTGACGATCTGAAGTAAAACAAAAGTAGGCGGGGGCTCATTTGACATACATGAAATCAAAACTTACACAGGTAACACGGCAATATGATAACCTAGTCACACGAACAATTATTCTCGCGCTATTGACCATTGAGATAAACATAAAAATTTCTATGAATGGATCACACTTTTTTTTTCTGGTACCACTGTAACTGTTGCAAAATCATGGTACTTCACCGGCGGTCATGTAATAAGAGTTAATGTGAATTTTTCGTGCGAGATAAAACGTGATTACCAACACAGATTTTAGTATTAGACTCGGAGATTTCCACGACAGTCCAATTCAATCCTATCAATCTTCCACCATTTCCTACTCGCTAACATTATGTAATATAGGAAAAATGAAAATTAATATAGTACACACTGTAAGAACACACTGGTGTTACTTTAATTTGTACACGTCTCCGAACGGCGACAGAATTGAAAGGTGTTCAGCTCCGTTTAAACTCAACTCTCAACGGGAATCCACTTGAGCTGTGCGTTATTTTCCAGTTCAAAATTTTCAATTAATCCTTTATTAATCTTATTTAACTATCATTCACCTGCATCAATAAAGCCACGTGTCGGTATCCCGAATTCCCAAACCATATAAGCCAGTGTCGGTTGCCCACGCATCCCGGTATCTCGCCCATACACGTGCTCTCCCTTCCCCTTCCCAATTTCCTCCCAATCCTCTCCTCTCTCACACTGTTAGTAGGTTCCTTTCTCCTTTCTCCTTTCTCATTCCTTTCCATACTCACAAAATCCATTCCCCCCGAAACTGGTGCAATTTCTCCCCGCTTTAATCGCTTTCCGCCCATATATCCTCTTCCTTCCTTTTCCTCCACTTTCCCAAATCCCACCGAAAAGCAGTCCACCCGGCCAAATCCGCCGCCGGGGAAACAGAGCCGAAACTCGAATTCGCTAATCAGACTCTGCTCCGATGCTTCCACTAACCAATTCTCCGCCGCCTGAGTCCACCGCCAAGATTAAAAAGCCGAAATTCGCCCCCGGCGATTTCATCCGGAGGAAGAATTCCTTCAGCTCTCTCACCTCGCTCCTCTCCCATGCCTACTTATCCCAGCCCCGTTCCTGGATTCTCCTCTTGCTCTTATTCATCCAGATTCTCCTCCTCCTCACTCTCCGCTCCGTCCCCTTCCACTTCCACGGCTTCCACCGCCGCCTCCCTGCTTCTCCCAATCCCGCCGCCGCCGTCTCCGAGCCAGTCGTTATTACAACACCAAGGTCCGACTCTGCCGCCGCCGCCGTGGTGGCGGTCGACGAGAACCGCTGCGGGAACGGGTACGTCTACGTTTACGATCTCCCGAGCAGCTTGAACACCGAATTGATCGAGAATTGCGAGAAATTGAACCCGTGGAGCTCGAGGTGCGACGCGCTGGCGAACGACGGGTTCGGGCAGCAGGCGGCGGGAGTGTCTGGAGTCGTGCCGGACGATTTGGTCCCGGCGTGGTTCTGGACCGATCAATTCGTCTCGGAGATTGTTTTCCACAACAGGATGGTGAAGCACAAGTGCCGGACCACCGAGCCGGGCAATGCGACGGCGTTTTACATCCCGTTCTACGCCGGACTTGCAGTGGGGAGGTTCCTGTGGCAGAATTTCAGCGCCAAGGACAGAGATCGGCACTGCGAGGCGATGCTGAGCTGGGTACAATCCCAGCCGCAGTTTCAGAGATCCAACGGCTGGGATCACTTCATCACAATGGGGCGGATCACGTGGGACTTCCGCCG